CCTGAATACGTAAGTAATTTCTAATGTGTTGCCAATTATTTCTATTAATATTGTATGGTATTTATTATTTTTATATTTTGTGTAGCTTAATGAATTGCATCGGTGACATTGTTTGAGCATCTGCTTTTATACTTTGCGTGCTTTACTAAAGTATGAGTAGCATACTTGGTAAATATTTGGATCTTTTTTGTTACGAATGAGTTGAATGCTTCCATTCGTAGCTGGGAAATATGACCTTTTAACGACATGGTTAGTGACACAAGACGAGGGTCTTCTAAAATTTGCATGAACTCTACTATGTTGGAACCGTGAAAGGATGGTTGGTTCATCTTGTTAGTTCATACTTCAGTTCCCTTAAATTGATGTCGACTTGTGTATTCAAATATTAGGTCATGTTCAAGTTCTCACACAAGGGATTTTGTAATATGCTTCAAAAAAATGTTTTCCATGAATTTTCTTTAGTAAAATTGTTTTTACATTTTTATAGTAAAAATTCTGTCTATATTTTTTAGTTTGATTTTCTTTTCTGTCCTTAACTATCCCTAAATGGTTCTTGCTTGTTTCAAAAACATGTCTTGTGTGTTGTACACAATAAATGGCTCTTAATTCAGTTCACTTCACTAGTGAAGACGTGTATTCGTGCTCACCTCTTTGGTTTAGGTTCTTTAAATCATTTAACGTATTAGCCCCCTTTTCCCTTATAATGATATGTAATCGTCGTTTATTTGCTACAGTATACTTGCTTTGCCTGCATGGTTGTCAGAATTTGCAAAAAAGGTTACATGAATGTTTTCTTTTCGGATGTATTTCTTTCATTGGAAGGAATCTTCATTCTATTTGTTTCTGAAATTGTTATATTTTCTGTGAATGTTTGCATTTATAGTCACACTGAAAGCTACTTATCATGATTTCTTATATGTTTTCTTACTGGATGGCTTTAGATTTGCTTCGCTTTTTGTATTATTTGTTCATTACGTAGTGCCATTTTTTACTTTGACCTTTCCTTTGATCTTCTAAAAACCATAGTATTTCTTTTATTTTGTATCTTGTTTACATATTTCCCTTTTTTACTTTGTCTAAATGAAATATGTATCTTTTGTAGGTCCCTTTAGTTTGTCTCTTTTATTTTCTAGTCTAAGAATTGAAGCAAATCTTGTTCCCGAAAGTTCCTAAACCTCGGAAATGCTGGACGTAAAGCGAATCTGTTACCGATAAATTGAAGCATAGTTGGACGTAATGCGAATCTGTTACCGATAAATTATGAGTCATGGCACCAAATGCCTAACAGTAACAAAAATCAAGCATTGGATTTTGTTAAGGTAATAATGTCATTATAATAGATACTTTATATAAATTCAATACTAATTTATACTTACGGTACACACTTATTTATTGTATAGGAGAAATTTTCTTTAGAGGTCTCTGATGATTATGTGAAGCAAGCGTTAGGGAAGAGATGGAGGGACCACAAGAGCTCCTTAAAGAAAAAATACTTCAAGAATGATCTCAGCCTTGAAGAGAAGTTGCAAACAGTCCCACCAGGAATGCTCAGATACCAATGGGAAGATGCAGTCAGATTTTGGAGTTCACAAAAAAGACAGATATGATGTATTTTTCATAAATAATTGTAACAAATTGTAACTCATCATTAAAAGTGGTTGATTTATAAATTGTAGGATCGAGAGCATGTTGGTGTTGCTAGCAGGCAACAACAAAAGTTTACGTACACGGCTGAATCGAAGAGCTTTGCTTGTATAGCTAATGAGGAGGTATTATAGATCATTGAAATAGTTTTCTGTATTTCATGTACATACTAACTCATATGTAATTATATTATGGTACATTATAAGAAAATACATCCGGTTCTAAAGTTGGTCGAATCCAACTCTTCGACATGACACATACGAAGAAGGATGGCACTCCTATGATTGCTGACGCTGCAGAAATTATGGTACGTTTATTGGGTAGATGTTTTAAATTTACCTGACTTTATTTATATTTGTACCATGACATTTTTTATTTTAATTAATTATTCACTTTATTATTAGGAAAAATTGAGGGAGAAAAAGGAGGAGCATCATGCTACTGCTTCGAGTCAAGGTATTATTAATGATGATCACATTAAAAACCAAGCTATTAATGACGTTTTGGGTCCTTAAAGATATGGTCGGGTGCGCTGTCAATGGTCATTCGTTACTCCCACCAAATATTTTAGATCCAGTTTATCACAGTACACGTCATCACAGTCTCGATCTTCCCAATTAGAAGTTAGCTGAGATGGATCAACAAATGACTAACTTGAAAGCGGAAAATGAAGCAAGGGAAGCAGAGAGAGCAGCAGCAGAAGCAGAGAGAGAAGCAGTGGCAGCACAGAGAGAAGCAGCATATCAGCAGAGATGTGAAGAATTTGAAAAACGACTCAATGATATGATGCTGATGATACATAAAACGCAACCTCAGAATCCACCTTCGTAGTCTCATTTATGTTATGAGCATTTTGTTAATGTTACTGAACCGTGTTTAACTGAACTTATATTACGTTAATGAAAACTTTTTTTATTATATTGGATTTGACGTTGCTTGTTATGGATATATAGTTTGATGTTATTGTTGTTTTGTTTGTTGGATAATGGAACAGGTTGAAATAATAGATTTGGGGTAATCAAATATAATTTTAAAATTGGTTAAATTCTGAGTTATTTAGCGGCGTTTGTAATAAAAAAGTCGCAATATACCAAACATTTAGAGGCGTTTGTAACCTAAAAACGCTGTTATATATTGGTATTTTAGCAGCGTTTTTATCCTAAAAATGTCGTAATATAACGGTATGTTAGCGGCGTTTGTATCCTAAAAATGCTGCTATATAGCGGTCTTTTAGCGGCGTTTGTATGAAAAAATGCAGCGAAAGCTCAATACCTATTGCGACGTTTGTGGGAAAAATGCTACTAAATCTCAAAACTTATTGCGGTGTTTGCAATAAAAACGCCGCTAAATCTCAACAACTACTGCGACATTTGTGGGGAAAACGCCGCTAAACATCACCACCTATTGCGGCGTTTGTTAATATCGTAACCTATTGCGTCGTTTTTTTGTTCACAAACACCGCGAACTTTAGCGGCGCGTTTTTTGCGGCGTTTGTCATAACGCCGCATGTGTTTTTAGCGGCGCTTATAAACGCCGCGATAGGTAAAAAAACGCCGTTAAAAGCCAATTTTGTTGTAGTGTGAGTTAACGCGATGAGGTCTTAGATTTAGTAAATAAGATTAGTGGTTTGAATTATGATGTTGTAAATGAAGAAAATTAGGTTAAATGATCGTCTGTATAATAGGCTTTTAGAGTACTTGATATGAATTAATCAACTAATGAATTATATATATAAAAAGTTATCAAATAAGAACATCATACATGCCATTCTTGTTAGATGCAATAATTTTTGGGTGGATGAAATGAAAACTATACTTTAGGCATCAAAGTGAGATTAAAAAATTAGACGTTAAAGTGAAATTCAGGGGCTAAATTATGAATAAAACGCATTATATATGTATATTGGATGATACATTCAATGCATTATACATAACCCCTATATACTTTTTTTAGGAAGGTACTAAAGTGGAAAATATGTATATCTTATGGGTCAAATCATTAATAAAGCTTTTTTTTGTTTAATATAGAAATAGGTGACTAAACTATAACTAAAATTGATTTTTGGTTAAAAATAAGTGTATAATATTTTCTCTGTTATATTTTTAGGTGTTTATATATACAGTAATGACTGTCAAAAAAATATTAAACAATATGTGTCATATTTACTTTATTTAAATTTTTATTTTCGGAAAAATATTATATTTAAAAAAAATATTTTCTTAAAAAAATCAAAATCTCTAATTTCCCAATCCTTTCCTGTGCGTGCCTCCCTCCCCAAGCCCCCTGCCTCTTCTCCCCTATACAATTGTTCAAGTAATTGTGGTATACGTGGAAACTAAACAATTGTCTAAGCAATTACCATTTGCCGAACACGTTTAGGGTTAGACAATTGCTATTTACCGGCCACGATTAGGGTTAAACAATTGCTATTTACCGACCAGGATTAGGGTTTTAAAAATTAGGGTTAGGGATTTAAATATTAAGGCTAGAAAATTAGGTTAAACAATTGCTACTTACCAACCAGGATTAGGGCTTTAAAAATTAGGGTTAGGGTTTTAAATGTTAAGGTTAGAAAATTAGGGTTAAACTGACTATGGCAACTTGCAAGTTTTCCGGTGGTGGGTACTTACCGAAGATGGTAACGGCCGACGACAGTAATGGGCTTTGGCTTAGGTATTTGAGGGTATTTAGGTATTTTATGAAAAATATGAAAAGATAAAAGTCTTTTTGAAAATTTATAAATTTTATTTCTTGAAAAATAAAATAAAATAAAAAATTAGACCACGTTTCAAACATTGATTAGTTAATTAATTTTTAATGTAATTTTTTAACGGTAGACATTTAAAAATATAACCAAAAAAACGTTATGCATATTTTTGATGAAAAATTCTTTATGTATCTAAATATAAGTTTTTAAGTTTTTTTTTTTATATAAATTTGAGGTGAATCCAAAATATTATTTATTTGAAGACTTTTAATCACGCTCGTGATCCGATATATGTGATACTTTTTGTATATACACACCAAATTATACACGGTCAGTTGCATTATATATTAATCCTACACATATATATTGAAAGGAACTAAGGCTGATAAATTTGTAGAGTTTAAGGACCATATCTGAATTAAGCAATAGTTTATTTAACTATACATGTATTTTTTATTTTCCTTTGGGATATGGGAATGACTAATTTTTTAATGGAGAAAGTAATCACAGGGCGAGGCTATAAAGAAATAGATGTTCATGTTTGCTTAGTGCAAAGGGAAAATCTATTACTTTGCTATCTCTTTTCAGTTGGCTTTGGATATCTAGCTAGCCTTAGATTTTGGGTGCTTTGATCGCCATCTTCGTCGTCTTCATGGCTTCATCAAACAGGCACTGGCCTAGCATGTTCAAGTCCAAGCCCTGCAACACTCACCACCAATGGCAGCAGCATGACATCAACCCTTCTCTCATCTCAAGTGCTTGCCATAGACCTCCTTGCTCCTCAGGTAAAACAAAAATCACACAATATTCGGTACTTGTTGAAGACGATCCTGATTGAGAACTCGGATGATTTTCATATTGCAGGCTGTGAAGAGCGTACCCCCGAGCCTAAACCGAGATGGAATCCGAAACCCGAACAGATTCGGATACTGGAAGCCATATTCAACTCCGGGATGGTTAATCCACCGAGGGACGAAATAAGGAAAATCAAAGTTCTGTTGCAGGAGTATGGTCAAGTAGGCGATGCCAATATATTTTACTGGTTCCAGAACAGGAAATCAAGAAGCAAACCCAAACTTCGAAACCTCCAAAACACTAAACAGCAGCAGTCATACTTAACTCCATCATCTTCATCACACAAATCTTCACCAAAAGGAGCTAAAAAGAGTACGGCCATGATCATGGATGTTTCCGACTCACCAAGTGGCTCGGTGAACCAGACCTGCTTCCATCAGCAGCCTCAAACCGAGTTCTTGAACGAACCCTTTGTATTTCCTATGCAACAGGGACCTGGATTAACACAAGAGTTTGCCTTCCCTGAACAGCCAATCGTCGGGCCATGTACGAGTCTATTGTTGAGTGAGATATTGAACCACGAAGCTCCAAGGAAAGAACATGAAGAAAAGATGCTGATGCAACTGCAGCTTAGTTACTCTATGACCAATAATGCTCCTCCCGCAACTGTTCCATCTCATAGCCACCACAGTCCTGGTAAAAAAAATTATGTTGATCGTGATTCTTATCATTGTCACTAGGTGAACGTGTGCATGTCTTGTTTCTCTTACTGCATTGCGATTCCCTCGGTCGGCAGGTGTCGGCGAATTGGGTGCAGTGGATCCTGGATGTGCAGCGGTGGCCAGATCATCATCATCGACGGTGTTCATCAATGATGTAGCCTTTGAGATGGCCGTGGGACCGTTCAACGTGCGAGAAGCATTTGGTGATGATGCAATCTTGATCGACTCTGCCGGTCAACCTGTTCTCACCAATGAGTGGGGGATAACACTTCAGTCCCTTCAACATGGTGGATTTTACTATCTGCTTCGCTCATCAACTCCTTTTTCCGTATAACCCCAAGGTGACACTATATTATATTATGTTAGATTCGAATATATACATATATAAATTAGATTATATCTCGAATCCAAATGTTAAACATAAATGCTTCATAAGATTAGATTATTATATATATATAGTATGTACTGTGCATGACAGCTTGGTATGCAAAGATGATGATTGATGAAGCGCACTCTTCTCGTGTAAACACAGGAGGTGTCTTTTGCTTAACAATTAAGTTTGTGGATCAGTGTGTTTTTTTTACTTGAGTTTGCAGGTTTTAGAAATGTGGGAAATGGACGACATACAGACATTGGCTGACACTGCCCTTTTTTTCTTCTCTCTCTCTGATATCAAGGTTGCAAAATATAGCTTTACCTATATTGTACTCCTTAGGGCTTATATATTATGCATATATGTATCTGGAATAGTATGAGAACTTTATGGACCAATCTATTTTTCTTTCATTTTTCTTTAATTAAGGTAATATGAATGAAATATAATATATATATATATATATATACACACGTTTGTATGTATGTATATACGTGTGTGTGTGTGGTGTAACAATTTCTATAGCAGCAACTGAAAGCCTAAAACTCATACATCCCAGAAAGGATTGGTGGGTGTGCAGACATTTACTGTTGCTGTTTTACGTAATGCAACAGTGAATGAAGAGGTAGATTCTATGATGTGTGATGAGTGGTCAAAGGAGGTGGGGGAGTGAGTATTTGGAGTTGATGACTGGTGCAGATCTTTTGACGTGCACTCTGGTGAGAACAGTGTTAATCTCACCACCTCATGTAGCCCTAACTTACTCTTCCGATTTGACAAAGCGATCAGCCTTGATTCTCATATATGATATGATATGTCGATGAAAGAACTTTGTCTCCTTTTCTAGCTAGCTCCTAATTCTTCCTCCCTATATCTTACACATCACATTTAGCAGTACATAAATCAACATAAGCTTCGGTAAACTGTTTATATAATATTTTAATATTTATTTATTAAGTTTTTAAAAAATAAGTGCAAATAAAATTTTTATGTTTAATTAATAAATGAATGAACATGAACAAAAGTATATTTGGTTCGTTTATGTTTAAAAATAAGTTTATTTATTGACTCGTTTATCAACTTATTTATAAATTTATTTACACAACTCTCCTTTTTCTTTTGTTTTTTTATTATTTAAATGTTGATGAATGTATAAACTAAATTGAATACATGATAAATTTTTGAATTCAAAATATAAAATCTAAGAAACTTAAGGACTAATTATTTAATTTCATCATATTTCTTTAGCCTTTAGCTTATAAATAGAAGGGTAAAAATAAACAAATGAAAATGTTGATGATCATATAAACTGGTATGTTTGTGAATGTTAGACAAATATGTTCATAAATGTTAAACGAATCACATCTTTAAAATTAAATAAATGAAGTTAAACACGATATTAACAAACTAAACGAACAAGAACTAAACATGAATATATACACCTTAAAATATAATACAAACACATCCTTAATTGCCTAACTGTGTTCTTTGTATGGCCAATCAACCACTGTAATCACGTATTTTTCCACCACCCAAAAATTACAATAATTTTGGATTCCAAGCTCAATGAAGAAAACAAGCGTTTAAAAGTTACATGCATAATCGAGAATGTCTAAGGTACGAAAATCTTAATACATAGTTAAGAAAATGCGTTATCGGAAATATTAATATTTTTCTAACATTTTCAGTAAAGTACAACATAAAATATTATTTTTTCTACCATAAATGTTAATATTATACTCTACTTAAAATGTTATTTTTCTACCGAAAATTAGGTAACGAAATTAACATTTCTGATAAAAAAAATAATGTTTTAGATAGTATTTTATCAGAAATGTTAAAAAAATATTAACATTTCTAATAGTTTATTTCTTTAACCGTATATTAAAGTCGCCGTTCATCGTAACTCTCCATAATCAGAGTGATGACTGGCTGTGATGTTTTCGAGAAACGTAAGGATGATGTTTTCGAGAAACGTAAGGATGATGTTTTCAAATCTTTATCATTATGCATATACAACATCCACTATTCAATCATGCAAAGACATTCCCTATCTTTTCAAAGCTTTATCATTATGTAGGCTAAATTTTTTGAATAATGCACTGAAAAAATTAGTTTGAATAAGGATGACTTAAAATTATTTATTTACATAGGGTGAATGTTACAGTATAAAAATGCATGGTGTTCTATGATATTTATAATTTTAAATGGGAAATATATGGATTTCCATGCGTTCCCAAATTCTGTTTTTTTTTTTTAAATATATTTATGGACACTACAAGTTGTTTGAATCATGCCCTATTACCTTAATCTAGTTGCTCGAATTGTGTCCCGTTACTATGATACTACAAGTTGTTATTCCTGTTACCCCAATAAAGTTGTTTGAATAATACCTTGCTACCAAATTTCTCAAACCATGCCCTGTTATCAAGTTGTTCGAATCATGCCTTGTTACCAAGTTGCTCGAACCATGCTCTGCTACCCCGACACTACAAGTTGTTGAAGTGTTAGGGTAGCAGGGCATGGTTTGAACAATTTGGTAGCAGGGCATAGTTCGAGCAGCTTGATCAAGGTAACAGGGCATAGTTCAAGCAGCTTGATCAGGGTAACAGGGCATGATTCGAGAAATTTGGTAATAGGGCATGATTCGAGTAACTTTATCGGGATAGTAAGAAGAAGAACTTGTAGTGTCAAGGTAGCAGGGCATGGTTCAAACAACTTGGTAGTAGGGCATGGTTCAAACAACTTAACCAGGACAACAGATCATGATTCGAACAACTTGTAGTGTTTATAAGTAAAAAAAATATAGGTAACTCATGGAAATCATGTGTTTCCCATCCAAAATTATAGCATGGAACACCATGTGTTTTCTATTGGTATTGTCTCTCTATTCAAGCAAATAATTTTAACTCAGTCTTATTTGAACTATTTTTTTTCCAATGCATTATTCAAAAAAAAATTCCCACTACGTAAATATATATCTAATTGTTTTGTTCTTTTATAAGTGAATCTTTTATAAATCATTCTTATCTTATCTATAAATCGATTAATATGAATAATATACTATAAAAATTTATGATGTTAAAAGTTCGGACCCAAATTTTATATAAGAGACTAACGTCTAATTTATAAATTCTAAGTTTTATCGCACTCATGCTATAAGTAGAAGAAAATAATTCACATAAAATATATGATAAATGATTTGTATGTTTATGTTAGTTTAGTGTTCACTTTTTATATATATAGATTATAATGTCTAAACCATCCATAAATGCTAACTCTTAAATTAAAGGTCCTAAATTTTATAATATCATAAGGATCAATTGAATTGATGTTCAATCAAATTTTGTGTTAAGATTTTATAAGTTATAATTTATTATTTAAATATTATATAAAAATATCGTACTATTATAGTATATATAAGTTAATTATGATTATAATAATATTTGTTGACATGAATGGTAATTGGTTGACTGGTTACACACGTAACATTGGTTGCTGCCATGTTCTTCAGGCCGAACTCTGGGCAGTGCTTGACGACCTCCAAATAGCTTGGAACTGCGGCACGAGAAATTTGGTGGTTGAGCCTGATAACCAAGAGACTGTTCGCATGCTTAATACGACCCCTCAAGCTCATGAGACTGCTGTCACCAGAAGAATACGAGTAACAAGCTTGCTGTTGAACTTGCCACCTTGGGACGTCGAGTAAACATGGGACTTTCGTTGCTCCAGCAACCTCCTGTAGAAGTCCAGCAAACCCTCACTACTGACCAAACAGTAGGGAGCTGCAGCCACAATCACAGATTTCAGTGTTCTTCTTTGTAATAATAATAAAATAATATTTGTACATTATCTCGATTTATTTTTATTATAAGTATATAAATAAATGTGGTATTAAGAAATTGCCAATCACATAATGTTACTAACTCTGTTCCCAAACGAGCCTTTTTTTCTACAGTAACACAAGTGCCAAGAGTTTGACATTGTTTCTTCTTTCATACCCAATCCCTCCGAAGTCCGAACCCAGAAAATTAATATTATACAAATTAAAAAAAGGCGTTAATAATTTTCCTTTTTTTAAAAAAAATAATATTTTGACGCCAATTAAAGACAGCATCGGACGACAAAGAAGAAAACCAATCAAGCAAAAAAAAGGGACAGCAAAAAGACAAACGTAGGAGAGGAATGGGAGCTTACAGAGCGGATGATGACTACGATTACTTGTTCAAGGTTGTTCTGACTTCTGATTGGTGATTCAGGTGTTCGAAAATCCAACCTTTTGTCTAGATTTACAAAGAACGAGTTCAGCCTCGAATCCAAGTCCACCATCGGGGTCGAATTCGCTACCCGTAGCATCCGTGTCGATGATAAGGTCGTTAAAGCTCAGATTTGGGACACTGCCGGACAAGAAAGGTCTTTCTTCTTTTTCCCATTATTTTCTATCTGGGTTTTAATATTTATGCTCCCTTTTTGCTTCTTTTGAATGTTTGGATACTTTTAACATACTTTTGGGTGTTACTTGAATGCTGTGATCTCGCATACCTGCATATATGTAAACTGTGATAATGTTTTTGGGTAATGCTGCAACAAAATTGGATATTTTCATTATTTTCATTGTATTGAATTCTGGTTGGGTATTCTTTCTGTTTTAACGTGGTCTGTTTTGTGTGTTTTCTCCCTTTTGTTGTAAAGGGACACAGTTTCTGTAAATAAGACTTAACCATCACCAAAGATGGAAGAGAGATTCTTTGGTTCGATTTTTTTTAAAAAAAGATATAAGTTTAGGTGAGGGGAGGTTACCCGGATAACCAGCTAAACCGATGGTTCGAATCTTATGACATCCATTTAGTTGGATTGAATTTGTTGGTTCGAATCCAACAAGGGATTCAAACTTAGTAAGTACTCAATCAATTGAATCGATGTCTCTGTTTCTTAAAATTTGAAACCATACTTGCAATGGTTGTGGGGTGGCATTTTATGTATGATAGAAATGAAAGCCATTTTTATACAATTCCCGTGCCTATGTATGACTGGTTTTGCTTTTTTGAACACCCTTTTTCAAGTGTATGATTGGTTTTCCATCTTCTCCGTTTTGAAGCCCTAGGAATGTTGATATAATTTCTTTGTTTGATCTCTTTTTGCCAAAGATATCGGGCAATAACCAGTGCAAACTACCGTGGTGCTGTTGGCGCTTTACTAGTGTACGATGTAGCCCGTCATGTTACGTTTGAAAACGTAGAAAGGTGGCTGAGGGAACTTAGAGGTCACACTGATGCTGACATTGTTATTATGTTAGTCGGAAACAAGGCGGACCTGAATCACTTGTGAGCAGTTTCTGCCGAAGATGCCAAAGCTTTCACCGAACGAGAGAACACCTTCTTCATGGAAACATCTGCACTAGTCTTTGAATGTTGAGGATGCGTTTACACAAGTGCTGGTCCAGATTTATCGTGTTGTGAGCAAGAAAACTCTCAATGTAGGAGATGACCCATTGGCTTTGCCTAAAGGAAAGATGATGTAACGGCCGTAAAAGGATGTGGATGTTGATGGTGAAAGCGAACAGCCGAACACCAACAAAAGTATCAACCGTGAATGGTAGCTTGAACTCTAGAACTAAGGTTACTAATTTTATATAAAATTCAGCTTGTTTCAGATATTTTAACGATTTAACTCGACCCAACTCCATTTCGGATATAATCTAACACTGGAAGGCCTCGAACCACCTTTAACTCTTTGATAAAAATCTCATAATAGAGGCTAAAATTAGCAGAGCGTAAAATGGGTTTAACTCCAAAACACAAACAAAATTATCAAATAATGTGTACCAAATAGGAAGAAACAAATGTATAATGAGATGTATAACCATCACCCTTTAAAGAAAAATAATATAAAAAAGAAGAATCTTTGAATATAAACCAATTGCCAGCTAAATTGTAGAAAGTACACATAATCATCTTTTGGAAGAAACACTTGCTGTATGTAAAAAGGAATTGTCATTTTCGAGCTTCAACCTTCTTCTGCTCCCTCGCTGAAACAAATTCAAATATGGATGTTTATCAGTGTCAAAAAAGAAAAAAGGTTGACATATAATAGTCATGGCTCCAGATTCTTACAGGCTTTCTCCTCCTCTCGTTTTCTAGCAGCTTCTTCTCTCTGTTGACGAATAAGAGCTAGGCGTTCTGTATTACCACAACATTCCAAGTTAGAAATGCTTTGTTTTGTTCTTATCAAGGAAAAATAGCAGTGCAAAGCAGGAATCAATTAGATTCAACTTTTCAGTTTTCCCACTAAATAGAAGTGATAAGGCATATCGGTCAATTTGCATGTAAATTTGGTTATATGAAGCAATTTCGCAAAATTAAGATTTTAAAAGCACTCAGCTTGTTCATCATCCCACAGTGGCACATGTCTTCTCAGTTTAATGTGTAACAATTATAGCCTCTTCAGTCTTCAAGCATTCTAAGTTTCTAATCTATAGAATTCAACTCCCCCAAAATCTAGCCAACTAGAAAAAAATTGAATCAGCCTTAAAACTGGAGTTGATAGGGGAAGTGGACAATCATGTTGGAAGATAAATTGACGATTGGCATAATGAGTAAGGAATCAGATGTTAGCATTGTCAGTGTTTAGCCCACTCTATTAAATTGATGTGATCAGTAAGTCATGATACGAGGGAGGTTTGATAAGAGGTAAAGGAATATCCTGTTAGCTTACCCAAATCTTTCCTTGATTGTTCTGTTTTCCCCTGCTCTTGCAGCCTCATGTATCGTTCATGGGCTCTCTGCTTTTCTAGTTCCTCCCTGTAAACAATTAGGGAATATGCATATGATGGAGCATTCACATAAAAACCATAAAGAAAGAATATACATAAGTTATAGCTTAAGATAGAAAAATAGATCCAGACAACAAACCATAACTTAAAATGCATCAAAAGCAGAATTTGGAAGAAAAAATTGGATAAATTTACAAACCTTTCACGCCTTGAAAGTTCAGTAGTTTTCCCAGCCTACAAATGAGATTGCAAAAAATCAAAACATATATAAAGCATTAGTTGTAACATACAATCATTGAAACAATATATAAGGAGACATCGTGAAACTAACATCAAGATCCTTAGCTTTCAAGTTCTTTGGCTTCACCAAATTAGGATTGTTGATTTCAATCACACCTTGAGTCCCCTTGCGCTTTTGCTGTTGGTTTGCAACAGGAAATTTTCAGATTTCCTAATCATTCATATGCAGAAACAATTGACAAACAGAAGCCCAGTTATGATAAAACTTACTTCAGTTTCATCATCAGATTCTTCTCCAGACTCCTGTTCAGATTCATCATCTGATTCTTCCTCCGCCTTGTATTCAGCTTCTTGCTAACAACATTAATGAGTAAAGAGTGATTTCTTATAGTTTAATAGCATAAATAACTACTAAAAGTGTGGGTCAGTGAATCTAAAAGAGAGAGTGCATACCCGCTTAAAAGTGCGAGGACGAGTTGATGTACCAGCAACTGCAAACACACACAAAACAAAAGAAAACAAGGTTTTCCTCAGGCAGTGTGTTTGCACGATTGATTTCAGAAGAAAGAGAAACAGTTAACCCTAATCCTAAATCAGACAATGTCTGATAATCATCCACAATCTTTACTAACAATAATTAACCTAAATTTACTCTAACCAAATAATAGTAAATTAAACAAAACAATTGCTCTTAACTTCTCAAGTAACGTTTTTGGACACATATTTTCAACAAATCACTAGAAGAAAATATCAAAGTGATAAAAGTTTCCAAAAATTTAAATAGAAAATTTGCAATTTCAACTTTGTCAATCATAAACTAACGGTGCACGTACTTCAATAAGTCCCACTAAAACCAAACAAAAAGATCTGAATGTTTTACTTTTAATCGAATATTTCCGGGTATAGAAATAAAAAGAAGCATTAAAATTGAAAAGTATGGAATAAAAGGAAGAACTCATACGCATCTGTTCAGGGGTGGAGAAGTGGCGTTGACCGGTGGGCTTCGCCTTGAATTTTCCTCTTCCCATTGCTAATAACGGAGACAGATAAATCGGTTAACGAATACGAATAAATTTCTCTTCTAATCCCTAGGGTTTTCGAATAGGAGAAAAAGTAAAATAACTTTGAGGAGTTTTTAAGTCCCTCGCAGAATCAAAGAACCCTAGTATTAAGTCAACTCGTGCCACTTGCTTTAGTGGCGTTGGGTTTGATTCTGTGCGAGCGATCGTATGGGAAATCGTTTTACCTGATTATCTGAATCTGGCGCTTATACGAGGCAGATAAAAAGATTTGCAGCTGCATGTGGACGAGACGAATTAATTTCAATTATAAAATTATTTTTTATAAAATTCAATTAATATCTTTATTTCAATTATAAAATTCTTTTTTCCGAATATCTCTAAATTTTTTTTTTCCAAATTAACACACATTGTCGACTAAGTTTTTGGATTGATATCCTTTTGATAAAGACACGCCACGTTAGCTGTAGTTTTCAGAAGTCGTTTTTAGGACGTCTTCTACTGAAGAGGCAGAAATCGATGGGATCTTACACCATACGCATTTAATCTTTTTGAACATCATTCATATTTACTTTCACATAAAATAATATATTCATACACCAAGTAGACAGAATCAAAAGGCAAACAAAAATCATATTATAAAAATATAATGAAGCTATTATAACACCAAGACACTACGGTTCATAGTTCTATCATTAAGAGATCAATAAGAACATACCCTGCCACGTGCTATTTGTAAAGAAGCAAACGGCAATAATAATATATGCCTGTCTTTACATATACTCCTAACACCAAGTTCCACCATTCAAAACACACAGCACATAATTTTCTTAATTCTCACTGTTTTCACCAGTAAAGATCACAACAACACAGTCCTGTTTCTTTACAACTCCCATGATTTATTTCTGAATCGGACCTCTTCAAGTTATGAACATTGCCTTATATCTGTTCTCAAGTGAAGAAGACCAGAACGAATAGAATAATGAACAAAACTAGCAAAAATAATATCATCATACACTGTCCCTTTGCAATGGACTTCTTCATAACCATGGCTACCTTTTTCTGCAAGGGAAAAACAAATGAGGAATTCAGGACGAGCTCGAGTTGGAACAAGCCCAAATATGTAACTTTCAGATCATGAGAAATCACCTGAACAAAATCCAATCGGTTTGTTGTGCTGTCCATTTCATTACCTAAATCATCTACTATCTTCTCCTGAAACCCTCAAGGGATTGAAATATTAGCATACGAACATATCGACTATAATAGCTTTAACTCTGGTATATGGTAAACCCGACCAATTATGGCAGGTGAATTACAAGCACTCACCTGTGCAAGAAGTTCCTCATGTATAGTGAGTCCAACACCACCTATTCTCTCAACACTAGCACCAAGTTCATCCAACTCCTCATCCTGCTGCCTACAACCAACAATCGATAAACAATAAAAAAATAGCAAAACTGGACAACAAATGCAGTATAGTAACAGAAATGGGCAGGGGAAGTCGAGAAAACTCTTACTTTATAAGAAGCATTTGTCTATCCGATTCAGATGCTATAAAGCCATCATTGTCTTCCGCACTATATAGGTTGGATCTATCTGGTTGATGAGAATTTGGCAGTCTCATCAGTTCTCGGTGCACCGCACTTGTAGAATTACCGTTTCCTTTTCCAGCTACTACAGCTTTCATCACATTTCCCGCCTGATCAAACGAAATACAACTTAACAAGAGATCCATAACTGAAAAAGTAGAAAATTAAGATTCACCGTGTGTCACAAAACCCAAGATTTTCACGGATAAAAAATTCCATCAAATTATAATAACAGGAAAAATTCGGCACTGCACCACTAAACAAATTAAGGTTCCTGAAATATTCACTCTTTAATAATATCTAGAAACCCTAAAGCTGATACCTGAGTTCGGGCATTGCTGGTCCATCTCCTTCGGTTTTCAAGTTCCACTTCCTCGATGCCATACCATGAAGGATCCCTAGCTGCCACAGAAATAGCTTTGTCCAATTCATCTACCTTCCTATCAAGAAAGTAATCCTTTTAGCAGTGGCAAATCAGATAAAAATCGTTAGATTACTAGATAAATATTATGCAAAATAAGTTATTCCAACATATAAATTTTCCCATTTTGATAATCAAATCCAAATTAAGCAGGAAAGAATAAAACCGAATACCTGCCACTCAATGCTCTCACAATTAGCAAATAGGCCTTTTGTGAGATGTCCTCGTTCTTCGTCAGAACGAATCCTCTCCCATTGGTGAAAACTTGATTGCAATTTATCAATCTAAACCAAGACACCCAAAAATATCAACAACAGGAGAATCCCACAAAAGACAACAATCAAATAGATGCAACGATAACAGAGAAAAAAGTAAAGGACCCAACATACAGATTCTTGAATCTCTTCTTTGACGATATAAAATGGATCATGAGCCTTAGACATGTTGTAAGTAAATGAAGTTAATTGTAACCTGGAAACATTCAGAGAACAATACTTTAGCGTCCATTCAGGTAAAAACAAAACAAATTTGATAAAATTTACACATGATTTCTTACCCCTGCCACCGATCCGATATTGAACCCGGTCAGGAAGATTGGTGTTTCCACTCGAACGCGGAGAGGACGAAAACGACGACGACAAGCGATTCAGAACTTGGAAATAAGCCCTGAAACAGAGAAAAAGGGGTTCGTATTTTGGACTCTGGGCATCTTTTGTCAATGATCGTGGGGTACAAATAGGCCCATGTCAATCTGTTAGCCCAATGAAAACTTTTACAAATTCCTTCTGTTAAATAGAATTTTTAGGGTCAATTTTAGATTTTACCACTCAACGTTACTCACTTGGTCATTTAAGTTTATTTTTTAATTTAATCGTTAAATTTGAGTTGTTCCTAATTTGATAAATAATTAATGGTGTTATGATACAAAAAATAACACCAAAAATGAGATATTGTTAGAAAAGCATAATTTACATACAAATTATTGTCGTTTTATATCCCTATAAAACTCATTTTTGTTCTCTTTGATTTTTTCTTCCTCCTCAAGGTTTCTTTCTGTTTGTCCAAATTTTAATCATTGATAGACAATCGATTATATTGAAGGTTTTTGTTAAACTGTTTTTGCTCTCTTGATTGTTAATTTAGTGTTTGTTTAACCGAAGATGATTCCCTCGTTTATCAAACCTTTAAGTTTTTGGAGTTTCTAAAAGTTTTTTAAATTCTATATTCTTCAACCAGTTACAATCCTTGACGTAATTATTGATAAACTCACATGATCCACGGACTAAATTTCCTATATAACAACCATATTTATTACGTATGACACTAACACTAAGAGTACGCACACGTATCTATCACCATGTGAGGTTAAAACTATAAATCTTATTTTCTTGAATAATAGTTTATAATCTCTTTCAACCTACTAAATAATTGATAAAGGTTTTTTTTACTCAAATCAATAAAATAAATCACCAATATCTATCACTTATTTCTCTAATCGACATTTACAATAATTTTTTTGTGTGGTTATCTTTATCAATCCTGTAAAATTCATAATTATATACTAGTTCTCAATCATGTTTATATTATAATTTTCATATTATATTACATTTAGTACCCATCTAAAGTAATGGAAGATAAGTCTGTTTTGCACACCCTAAACCAACTATCATCCTAAAACATAAGTCAAACGACATCATGGTAAGACATAACGAGGATTAACAAAACATTATCATATCCATCTTTCCTTTTATTCTTCTTTGCCTAAATACTATGGTGCACGTGAGAGTTACGATCATTTATCTCTCTTTTTTCATTTTTCATTTTGTTTTGTTGCCCTTTCATGTTAATTCGTTTTATATTGGTAACTGTTCTTCTTATAATATTTTTTAAAAACTTAATTTGAATTTATTTAATAGAAATATAATTTTTTTGTACTGATGCTCAAGATTAAAGTGAGAAAGGAAAAGAGAGAAATATTGGAACGTATGAAATTATTTTAACACGTTTCTTTAATAAACGTGCATTCGTGTTCATTTGTTTCTCCCATTCAAACATTTTTAAATTTATGTTAAGTAGTGAATTATGTACTTTAATGTCGTCAAAAATGAACATATGATTAAACTAATCATATATTTTACAATACCCTTGATACACAATAGTCACATGGATTCCAATTATGATATTAATGTTTTCTTAACATTATTTATTAGATTATGTAAATCCTAATTAGAATAATAAAGTGTGTTTCAGTAGACTCGAATGTACACTATTTTAAATATTATAGTATTAATTAAATTAATTGAATTAAAATTTATTTAGTTTTTATTAAATTGGTACATGTAAATATTAACATATCATTTACACTATGATACTACATATTTGTTTTTCAAATAATATAAATCAAATAGTGTATAAAATACGATATATCATAAAATCGAATAAAGTTGTTATGTGAGATTCGGACCTTAAACATAGGAGTTCAAATTTAATAAATATTTATATTGTATATTTTTTTTCAAGTTATATAAACCAGATAATATATAAAAATTGATACATCATAAAATCTAACAATCTATTGAACAAAGTTGTGGCCTTAATATTAAAGTTCAGATTAAATAAATATTTTAAACGAGTTTTCTAGGTATAATTTTTTTTTTAAATTTCATAAATATAAATGAACATTCCAACTTAAACGAGTAACATGATCCTTATTATAGATATATTATTCTCTCTATTTTTTATTCATGTTTCATGATACAATGTTTATGGTGGAATAAGCATAACATACTCGATTTTGATATAACTCAACAGCTTCATCTTAAAAGATGTGTAGATTCTGTGTTTATTTTTAAATTATAACTATTACAATATTTTATATTAAGACAAAATTATAAAATATTAAAATTTAAGGGGATTGAAATTAGTATAGACCTAAATAAAAAAAATTGTTCGTTAAACACCATAAATTTGATGATTTCTCTAAAAAAAATTGATTACAATTGAATTATTTAAATAATAAGAGAGAAAATTAGAAAGTTTTTGTTAAAAATTTCAATGAAAAAATAATTTTTTCCATGTCAATAGATTTTTTTTAATGTTGGGCTCCTAAATTTTGGAATCTTATGATATATTATAAAATAATATTTTAATAAATGAATGAAGACATGCTTTACTTAAATTCGATCTTAAACTATTTTAATAAAAAAAACTCGACCTGACAAATTTAATTTAAAAAGACTTATGACCTTATTAATTAAAATTCATTAATTTCATATTTTTTTATCCCTGATTGTAGTATACCTGTATATTAATCGTGGTTGTAACTTAAAAGAGTGAGGGTCAGTGTTTACAACTTAGACCTTGATTAGGTGTTTTTGTGACCCCAAATATACAGATTAGAGAAGGGTAATCAATTCTAAACGTGATTATCATATTCCCCGTTTGATTAGGCACAATGGGTCCTGCATTTCTCATTGCTTTTTACCCAAGGTAGCAAGCACACCATAATGCCCTACAAATCTTTACATCAAAGTCAAAACTTTGCCCAAAGCATGTATCATGGATGGAAAGAAGGGGTTAAATTATACTAAACATCTCTGAACTTGTAAAATATTCTAATTGAATTTACAAAGCATCAATATTATATCAATTAGGTCCTTTTGTTATCCCAGTAGATAATTCAGGAGTTAAATGTAGCTCGGGTTTGCTATGGAACATATTTACAATATGAAAAACATGTGAATCAAAACTTTAAACACGTGCATGCCTATAACACGAGTAACTTAAATAGAACATGTTAAAATGGAACACATAGTGTAAAAGATTAGGAGGCTGTTTTACATTTTACATGGTAAGTCAAAGTTGATCATGTAGTAGCCTAGTAGGTACACGAGTCTATCTTTTGATTCAAATATTTAAGTGGACATCTAATGGTTAAGCTATTGTATAATTAAATTGACCGAAGGAGATGCTTGATAAATATTGTATTAATATTTTAAAGTTCAGAGAATAATTCAAAACATGAGTAATTGTCTGAGGATATATAACGTAACTTATCCAAAAAAAAATCAAACACAATAATATTTATATCAAATTCTTCTACTATGCACAAGCTTTTGGACTTAGCTTTTTGTATCACAATTTGGTCATTTTTAGTCTTTATACTTCTTAAAATTTAAAATTATCTGAATAATAGTCGATAAATTTATCAAATTAAATTTGTAAATTTAATTCTTATTATTCGAGTTGATTATTGTAGGTTCTTATAATTTAATCTTATTGGCATTATCTTATTTGACTCGAGATTAAAATTTTAAAATTCAATAGAAACTAAAATCGATCAAATCATAAAACACGACTAAATCTACAACTCATGCATAACACAAGGACTACAGATAAAATCTAACCTAACTTTTATAAATATAGATCACAGCTAACAACTTGGCAAGTTGGAGACGATGATATGAAAATACCACGAACATGGTGTGGGGTTTTGTTTGCACAAAGGGTATTTTTGAGACAGAATACAGGCTAGATTTGAAGTTTTGAAAGAAGTTATCCCTTTGGTAGAAATTGCTTGCCAACTCTGGTCTTCTTCCAAGTTTGGCTGATTTTGAGTAATTCCCCATCCCCATCTCTTTCTGGGGAAAAAAAGTATATCAAAACTGCAAAGGCAAGAAAGTAAGCTTGTAGCTGTAATATTCAAGAAATAATGTATAATCGGTGCAAAGGAATACAGATAAAGCAGAAAATTATTAGTAGGGAAGGACATGAGTGGGATTTTGGTAAACTGGAGGGTCCAGATTATATGATTTTCTGCTTTATATATGTATGTATATGTATTTCAGTTGGTATTTTACAATTTTATTTTGTATATTATAATTAGAATGTAACTAATAAAGAAAAATCTGGTTACTCTTTCAACATCTCTCTCTTTCTGCCACACATCACTTAAAGCAGTCTATCAGCATTGTTGCAGCAGCCAGCAGTTGCCGCTGTACAGCTTTCATTTCATATAAAAAAGCATCTACTTTTCCATAATCCTAAACAATACTCTTTTATAGATGTATATATTGTACTCTTATATCTACGTATCTAATCATAAGTATTTACAATAATCTAATGTTGTTCTTAATTTTTTAATCTCATAAAAGACTAAAACCCCATCAATCCCTTATGCAAAAGGTTTATCTTTTGGTTTCTTTTTGAGGGTCTTGACTCAAAGTTTCCTCTTTAACCTTTGGAAATCAGTCACTAAATATGTAGCCATGAAATGGCAAAAGGTTTATCTTTTGGTTTCTTTTTGAGGGTCTTAACTCAAAGTTTCCTCTTTAACCTTTGGAAACCAGTCACTAAATATGTAGCCATGAAATACCCTCTCCTGTATAACTCAGTTACAGTGCAAAGACCAAAGCTTTTATTTTCTTCGACTGCTCAATGGGGTGTTTAATCCTGAACACGACGGAAGAAGATGAAACGCCGCCGTCTGATTCTTTATCCTCATCTTCGGTGCTAAGTGTTTCTGGTTTTAGTTCTTCAGTTTGTTTAGAGCTTTGGCATGCTTGTGCTGGTCCACTCGTATCTTTGCCAAAGAGAGGAAGTGTAGTGGTATACTTCCCTCAAGGCCACTTGGAACAATTTCCCGAATTTTCAGGCTTTGCTTCA